GAAAGAGAAAGCTAAATTCTGTGTTTAATCGGATCAAATCTCTGATACCATGTAGAAATTGATGTTCTGTTGACTTGAATGTTTTATCTTACAAAGCAATGTATTTATACAAAGTAATCAGACGGTTTACCGCTTAACCTAATTCACCCTCTTAACTTAAAGCCCATGCAATATAACTATACAACTTAAACATATATAGCCCAATAGTAATACATTATTGTTGTTAATATAGGCATGGAATATCGAAACCAATGCAGACCAGAGTCTCACTGGACCTGTTGGCTAAGTGTATTCACTTGTTGTGGGTACTGATCTCCTTTTTGCTGGAACACAGGTATGTCGGGAAGCATTTGTGTTTAATGGCTAGAAGTATGTCGGCTTTTGGTTAACTAAGTCGCAAGTTCTTTACTTACTGTGCAGGATGGCTCTATTTTAGCTTGGAGATATAATGTTGCCACGAGCTGTTTTGAACCTGCGGCGTCCCTGAAGGGCCACACCCTTGCAGTTGTTACCTTATATGTTGGAGCAAACAGACTTTATTCTGGTTCCATGGACAAATCTATAAAAGCAAGTACTAGTACTATATTTCATGCTTAAATTAAAAACTACCGTTGTTTTTGTTTGTTTTAGCTAATCGTTTTGGTTTATATGTTTCTAGGTTTGGAGCTTGGATAATCTGCAGTGTATACAAACACTCACTGATCATACATCAGTTGTGATGTCTCTCATTTGCTGGGATCAGTTTCTTTTGTCTTGCTCATTGGACAACACGGTCAAGGTTAGTTCGCCTTTCCTTAACTTCCTAACTATCTTGAAAGTTTTAATCTTCCCTTGTTGACGTTTTTTTGGACGCTGTAGATATGGGCTGCAATTGAAGGTGGCAACTTGGAAGTAACTTACACTCACAAAGAAGAACATGTATAGTTTCCTTTCTGAATGTGTTACGCTCCCTTTTGGTCTTAATCTATATGTAATGTAGCTAACTAAACAAATTCTGGCAATATCTGACTTTGAACCAGGGAGTGCTAGCTCTATGTGGTGTACATGATGCAGAAGCCAATGCTCTTGCAATGACAATTCCTTGCGCCTCTACGATTTGCCATCGTAAGTCTTGCAACACTTTATTGTTATTTGATTCTTCCTCTTTTATTGTTTTCTGAAAGCTTATGTTCATTTATTAGATTTACGGAGAGGGGCAAAATCTTTGCAAAGCAAGAGATACGGTCGATCCAAATAGGTCCTGGGGGCATATTTTTCACGGGTGCGGAATTGGTCAAGTTACAGCTTCGTCTTGAGGAAATTCGAAATTTTGCCATTGTCACGGTTTCTTCTTCAGCAGAGTTTCTTTTCTACGTTCTTCTTGTAACATTATATATTGAGACTTTTTTCTTTCTTTCTTATTGATGTTCTAGTTAAGGCCAAGATCGTGTCATGTTAGAAGTTCTGAGACAGAATTGGGCGAATTTTGGTCCCTTTTTTTGTCCAATTTCAACATTCGCTTTGTCATGTATTGTTTGGATTTGTATTATCAGTTTGTCACAACGGATTTATCTATTCAAGAAAGTTCCAGAGTTGATATACATACAGTGACTAGAGTGATGCATTAACAGAAGCATTCTTATTACCGAAACCTTGAAATGGTCATAGAAAAGCAAAATATGTTTTTCACAGATTGAACATAACTTTGATGGCATCACTGCCACGAGCACTGGTTTCAAAGGCGTCTTCCACTTCCTTCTGAGAGAAACCGAATCTGTGGGTTATGAGTGGCTTTACATAAATCTTGCCACTTTTCAGGAACTCAAGACATAAAGGCCATGTGTTCTTGTACCTGAACACACCTACAACATCTACTTCCCTGTCTCAACCCAAAAGAAAAAAGAAAAAAGAAACACATTTGTTTCAGGATCATATTCTTGTTTTCAAAGCTTGAATAGTCTCTTACTTTGAAGGTCAGAAGAGGTTACCTTGCAGCTGCAGGAGTGAGAGGGACAGTCATTACACCGTGACCCATTCCTACAAGGCAGACTTTACCGCCACATCGAGTGGCTGCTAATGCCGTAGACATAGTTTTGTTAAAACCCGCACAATCAAATGTCACATCGATGTTTGAACCCATAGCTTTCTGTATTTGTTCAACCTCAAAACCAACATCCTGCAAAATAAAAAGGTAATCAGATCATTTACGTTTCAGAAAGATTTGGAAGTAAAAAAAGTGTAAGAACCTCTGTGTTTGCTGTCACTTTAACAATCCCGTCTGCGCCGAGCTGTTTAGCTACGGATAAACGGTTATCATCAACATCCACAATAACAATTCTAGGCACACTGAAAGCCCGAGCAGCCAACATGGTTACAAGCCCAATAGGTCCAGCTCCCATTACCAATACGTTTGCTTCAGGACCAACCCCAGCTCGGCGACAAGCATGTACACCAACACTTAGTGGTTCACACATAGCTCCTTCCTCCAAACTCACATTCTCAGGCAATTTGAAGCATAGATCCGCAGGGTGAACCACTTGGTTTGCTAGAGAGCCATGAACCGGTGGGGTTGCAAAGAACTTCATCTCCGGACAAAGATTGTATCGTCCATCCTTGCAGAGATTGCATCTCCAACAACTAATCCCAGGTTCAAGAGCCACACGGTCACCTACAACTAGATGTTTCACTTCTTCACCTACTTCTTCAACGATCCCAGCACATTCATGTCCAATAACCATCGGTTCTTTGACAACGAAATCCGCACATCTCATGGTCTTGTTTTCGTACACCATCAGAACCAATGTCAAGACCATAACAAATCAAAGAAAATACAAAAGATTCTCTCTGATTACATAAGCAAGTACCTTGAGATAGTGAACATCACTTCCGCAAATACCAACAGCTTTCATCCTAACTCTAACATCATGAGCACCTTTGTACAAACATATAATTTATCAGTTTCCAATACTTTGAACAAAAGGAAATCCAATCAAAACCCATGAGAAGATGATAAAAAGAATGTCTAACCAAGGGAAGGAAGAGGAAAAGGTTGGATCTTGAGGGTGTTGAGACCAACAAGCCAAGCAGCCATGTTTTCTTCCTCTTCCTTTGAGCCATCTCCATGAGACATTCCTCCTTTCCCCATCACTTTTCTCCTCTATGCTCAGCTCAAACGCTCTATTAGATTATTAGAGAAGCCAAACCCACCAGAGCCTTAAAGAATGTTTAAGAAAATAAAAGTGTCAGCATCGAAGTCATCACTAAATACAGGAAGGAACCAGATAAACCCAAGCGGTGGGTGGCTTTTCAAATATGTGTGGATAAAACCCAATATAGTTTGGTTAGTCTTTCTACTTTGTTCATCATTAGTCTTGTTTACCATATTTAACTCACAATCCAAATATAGATATACCCATAACAAATTTCTCTAATTAGCTTAAGGTTTTCAAGACTTGGATGTTTTGTTATGTCTTGGATAACATTTGTTTTATCAGATCAGAATGCTGGTGAGTCAGAGAATTTCAGACAAGTTCTGGGAACATGAGGACTATTATTTGATTAGAAAAGAAGATTTTACAATTACTACTTTGCGCAGGCTACTATGTACCACAATTTGCCATTAATTCTGACTTCTCTCTCAATTAAGTTGGAGGCTGAATATGTTCCCGAAAACGATTGAGGGTAACGACACAACAAAAATGGAGGCCACGCATCTGAATTTTGTCAATGCATAGCGGCTTAACGGAGATGAATTATTTGACTCCATCTAGTAACATAATTATTCAAGATTTACCAAAGAACTATCCAAAGAAATGAAGAAACCAGAGTAGCTTATCTCCCTGAAAGATAAAGGGAATGTGTATGCATTGCATGATCAAGCTTGGTAAACCTCTGGAAGAATGTGTATGCATTGCATGATCAAGCTTGGTAAACCTCTGGAAGACGAAGCCCTACACTAGCTGCAGATTTCCCAAGCACTCTTTTCATTTCTTCGGTTCTGTCAACCGCAATGTTGTATGAGAAGAGCAGATCCTGCAACAACCAGTTTGATTATCCATGTGAGACGAAAACACGAGGTAACATATATCATAATAATCGTGTGGAACATATAGAAGACGAATATAATATAACAAGCAGTGTTAATAATGACCAGCTTCTTCTTTCTTAAAAGCATGTTTTGTTTGTGCAGAAAAAGGTTGTATATTCGTTATCATCGTGGAGCAAACATGATGAGGAGATATAGTCATGTTTCCAAAGACAAATAATGCCAATGTCATTGAGAATCATAAAAAGACTTCACCTTCTGAGCATGAATGCTATTGATAAGATAGGTGTAATTGCGGGCGAGGTTGATTTTCTCTCGGGTCGAGTCTGAGTTTACATTCTTACGAAATTCCTGTTTTACAAAATCTGTCAAATGAACCTTGTGATCTTCCTTTCCAACATGTTTCACCACTGCTTTGAGAAGCTCACGGTAAACTCTAGCAGCTGAAACAACTTCACCACTCATCTTCTTT